TAACCACCCAAATCCTTTAGTATTTATTGGTTAAATAAGAAAAATATCTGTGCAATCGCTAATACTACATGCTGTACCTGGATAAATTCTTCCAGAAGAGTTGAGACCCACATATACAAAATAAAAAAACAGGCCACATGGTTACAAGAGTTCTCACCTAATTCCCTATGGTCATTTGATTTATTCAATTGGTTGTCATTAAGCCTTAATTCATGGCTCAAAACCATATGCAAACCAGAATTGTCATATTACTATCAATTTTACTTTGTATTTTCCCTGTTTAAACTTTGTGTCTGTTATGTGTTAAATTTTTACAAAAGTACCACTCCTAACAAAATAATGGTGGCCTAAGTCTTTGAGATGATAACAAAAGACCATGGAACAGACAAACTGAACTTAATAATGGACTCCAGGTGGACTTAGGCTGAGAGCCACTCCCTTTAAACCTCCCTTCTTGCTCAAATGTGGCTAAGAGGGCTTTGACTCCTAGTCTCCAATCATTCCTGCCATGCGGAACGAGACCAGCAACCCAGGACAGGTCCATCCTGGCACCAAGAACCATCAAAATCTAACTACAGGATGACTATCAGTGATGCTTTTGGAAGAAGATCTTGATTAAAAGGGGAAAATGTGAGAGTTGTCAGAATCGAAATGGAGTCACTTACGTTAAAAAAAATAAAAATCCTGACAAACAGAGCCAGGGAAGACCATGAAGAGGGAGTTCTCACACTTGTATGTCTGATAACAAAAACTAACACAAAATGTTACCCAAAAGATCAGGGTTTGTTCGCCTGGCGAGTAACAAACGACTGTCTCTGAGAATGCAGGGCTTGATCGGTAGACATTTTAATCACTTGCAGCAACTGCAGAGAGAACTGGGAAGAGTCTCCAAAACAGGATCTCCTCTGGGGAAAGTGGCATGGGGTTTTTATGGGGTAGTAGAGAAAAAAAGATGTGTCATCACTTGTAGGGGTGTAGTTTCCCCTACGCGTGCGTGGTTAGTTGTGCTCGCACACAGGTCACATGTTATGGTAAAACTGTAGCTCCTCCCGGGTGGAGACTCTAATATAGTAATGAGGAAAGTTCACTTGAGTTCATCTATAGGCTGCTAGCGTCTGTCAGGGGCTAGTTTTAGCCAGCTGAGTAGCCATGGGCCTCCCTTGGAAACAAAGGCTGCAGAACAGGTTGACTGCTCAAGTTGGTTGCATTCCTACAAGCCTCTAGGTCTAAGCCGTCAAATGTCCTAGAAGGGACCAGGGGTCCCTTTCCAGTGCTAAAATGCTAGAGTTTTTGTATTTTCTCAAGTCTGCCTATTCTTTTTTTCAGATTCTTATTCTTATAGAATATCAGCTACAGTGAGTTTGAAAAGAAGCCTCATAAATAAAACAGGTTATTTTTCACTTATTTTGTGAGGTCTTTTCCTGCTTGAATTATCTAGAATCATAAATAATTGTACTTTTATTTTTCTGAATTGAAAGACACTTTGTGTCTTTCACCTACATAGAATTTGTTTTGTGATTTAATTATGTTTAAATCTAATGTCACTGTTTTCACTCACAGCACTTCTGGCGCCACATGGGTGTCCAGTAATTCAATTCAGTTCTGACACTATCTACTGGGAGCTTGCGTCAGATCCCGCAAGTTAAAGGGCTCCAGCGCACAAGTCTGCCCCTACTTCAGATGCCAATCACAAGTCTCAGGCCACCCATGTTCCTGATGGACCAGCTGTAACTTGGGGGTTCCCATCGCTACCCCCTCAAGTTCAATAATTTGCTAGAGCAACTCACACAACTCAGGAAAGTGTTTTACTTACTGTTACTGGTTTGTTATAAAGTGTACAACTCAGGAACAGTCAAATGGGAGTGATACAGAGGGTAAAGTATGGGGCAGAGTGAGGGCACCAATCTCCTAGCATCTCGTTGTGTGCACCAACCCGGAGGCTCTCCAACCCTAGTCGTTTAGGGGTTTTTGGGGAGGTTTCATTACATTATTGATTAAATCATTGGCCTTTGGCGATGAACTCAATCTCCAGTCCCTTTCCCTTCTCCAGAGGTTGGTGGGGGGTTGTGGGGGGACTAGGGCTGAAAGTTCCAAGCTTCTAATCAACGCTTGGTTTTTCTGG